TGGGCTGTACAAATCCAGCGACTCAGCGCCCAGAGAGATGTTTCTCTCAGGAAAGGAGCTAGACACTAGGAGGAGGGCCTGCTCGGGCCACTGGGATAGATGTCTCTCGGAGCCTCCAAGAGACTCTCCTTCAGAGTTCTGAAGTGGATCCCCAAGTAGATCCTAGACCCTAAGGCATACAGCTTCCTTCTGGAGAAAGGCCAAAGCCGCCGTGGCCTGTGCTGTGGGTACAGTGTGTAGATAGCAAAGCAGACTGGTGTTTGCATCTTTCCCCAAGTTCTCCAAGCTGATCTCGCTACCTTTGGGGGTGAACAAAATATTCAACAGTTTTTCAAGTGCAAGAAATTGGCGCTCGAGAGTGTGTTAGTTCAGGTTCTTGTGCACGTCTGTTTGCATCCACTGAATCAAAAACCTCGAAAACTGTGCCGCTCCAGTTTCTGTCTTGCTCAGTTTTGGGGTGACATATGGATTTCGCTGGTTAATGAAAACTTATTTAATAAAAGCTCTAGCTACCTCCTTGCATCATTTTGCAGCCAGAAGAGTGGACTTAAATAATTGTGCATTCCAACTTCAGTTTATCAAAGCTCGGTAAGTCACTTCCTACGGGAGACATGTCTTCTGTCTGTAGAAGACAAACTGTGGTGTCAAGCATCAGCTTTCCCCGGCAGCTCTCCTAAAAACCTGCAGGGTGAAAAAGAGCTCTTTCTCTCCAAAGCTTGAGTGCTACCAGCGTGCCCACTGCACCTTGGGCCCTGCTGTTTGCCATCTTGGCGGAGGTGTCCGTTTCAGTGCAGCAAAGAGGCACCACTAAGTGTAGCAGGATGCAAGGGCACCTGTAGAGTTTTTACCCTAATTCCCTGAGAGATGGTCTCCCTGTCTGTTTTCATGGCACTCTTCCTTCTCAGGACTGTACATGGGCCTCAGAAACCATCCTTGGGGTCATCTGGCATTCTGAGTCGGGCTGGGGGCTATTTTGGGAAAAACAGTGCCTAAATCCTGGACACCTGCGCTTTAGAGGAATGTTTAAAATGACCTGTAAACCATCTGTTTGTAAGTACAACCAGACTTTGCTTCTGTGTCTCTCAGTTCCAGAAATGCTTTATCTTTATTTCCGGGAAGTTAGTATTTAATTAGCAACAGGCTATAAGTGTCTCAACCCTTCAGCCTCTTTAAAGAACTAATGGTGTAAAAACAAATGTGTAAATGCACCAGGGGGATCCCGGTGATTTATAGAGGCTCTGTATTGAATAATTTTGAAAAGGGAAGATGTTTTTGGTAATAAGAATATTCATTTTTTGACTCTTCTATTCTGTGATATGTAACCATGGGGTGGGGAGGAGGGGAGAGGAAAATACCATTTTTCTACGGAGCATAAAATCTTTAAGCTCATTTTATGTGCTAGTCACAGGCTCCTAAGCACTTGATTTAAAAATGAGCAGAATCCAATGGGTACCCTTCACTGGCCCTTTATGGTTTGGGGGAGGAAGGAGGACAGGGAATAAACCTCATTTTGGTTCAGGTAATTCAATGCTTGCAGCCACTCTACTTTGTCTTCCATTTAAAGAAAGAAAGAAAGAAAGAAAGAAAGAAAGAAAGAAAGAAAGAAAGAAAGAAAAGCAAAGCTTTCTATAATGGTTAGTGAAATTTACATTTCATCCCTTGCCTAAAACTATTTTTAGCCTTATTTTCTCTTTTCAGAGCTTTGTGCTGCTCCCCGCCTGCCCCCCTTAGATATTACAATTGGTCTCAGAAATGGCGATGCTTCGCTTTTGTTCTGTAGGTTGGTTTGATAGGTTGTGTCTGCAAATTTGAGAGAAGCACATTTTATTTTATTATTTTATTTTACTTTTTTAGCATCTAAACAATAACGTAACCACATCACGGCCTTTTCAGTCACACCGTTGACCTCTGCCGGCAGTTTATTCCCCTACAACACTTGAATGCATTAATATCGCTGTCTGTAGCATTTTAATTTAATTAGAGCAGTGGTTATAATCCTCTTGGGAAAGTCGTTATTCCCTCTGTACTGTTAAAATAAAACACCTCTGGTTTTCATCCGACTGACAATTGCTTTTGAGGTGAATGAGCTGTAAGCGGGTGGGTGCTCCCGCTTCCCTTTGCTGGGGGTTGGACCCCAGAAGCAGTTGTGAGGATAAAGAGGTTCCCTTCATTTGAGAAATTGGATGTTGCCCTCCTTGAGCCTTTCTTGTCTAGATGTTTCCATCTGATATAGTGTTTGTTTCCTATTTCTAATTGCTGATAGTCTGTTAAGTGCCTGGTTATAGGAATAGATGAAACAACGTGAACTGTGTGAGTCTCCCTAGAAATTAACAAAAAGAGAGACAAAGGGAGATAAGCCTGCGGTGTGGGATTCCTGCGTGTGTGTTTTGTTCCGTTTAGGAAAGGAGCCCATGTCCTGCATGGTGTCCTTTCTGCGGTCCCCCGAATGCTCACCTGGCTGCTGAACCGGGGTCAGCATAGGTGTGTAATGGCTGCTAGCATATTGCTCAAGGTCCTAGAAGTGCATTTCGCTTTTCCCACTCTTAGACAAGGCACCCCCTCTTCTGCTGCTACTGACAAATCTCTTCATGGAACCTTTAAAAAAGAGCTTCCCATCCCAAGCTTATGGTGTTGCATGGAATGTTGCTGAGTAGAAACTGTCTTCTAGAACAAGAATCTAGAATCTGTCTCCATCTAGAATTGTTTGGACATGGGGGTGAAATGGAGAGGGGGGATCCTCCTGAGAAAGGACAGTGAAATGAAGGGACAGTGGTGATAATTTAGCAAGTCAGAATATATACGTTTTAAAGGTGATACCTAGCTTGACTCTTACCAGTAGGCTAGAGGTAGATTTTCCAGGAAACAAAGTAAAATCTGTTTGGGGGGCTGGGTTTCTTCCATTTTTGTCCTCGATGGACTTGGTGAGGGGTGAGGGAGCTGGGATGACGAGGCCTGTCCCAGGGACCAGTTGCAGGATCTGGTGAGTCTCTCCTTGCTTTAAGAGACAGTCATCATATTATGAAATGCCACATCTTTTTTTCTCGCACTTGTGCCATGCCATTTGAAAACTCTTTGGCTGCACTATGTTTTCTTCATCAACAGTTTCACTTCTGCAAAAACCCTAAGAAAACAAAGCTATTTCTGGGAATAAAGTTAACGGCAGATAAGATATCTAGACATATATTGGGACTGGGTTGTTTTTTTTTTTCCCTCTCTTTTCGAGAGTTGAAGTGTGTGGAGAATTTGTTAAACTAGAAAAACAGACTGTGTTTAGAATGCTTAAAAAGCCCATTTCACTTTGAAAAACCCTTAAACAGATTTTGTATGTTTCCCATATGTGTGTTGATGTCTTTGCCTTTTTCACCCCCAAAACCCCAAGCCAAACACCAAAAAGTATAACTCCTCCTTAAGCTAGAGGTGCTCAAAATATGTGTGATTGATAAAATTCCAGAAAAATGAAGTTGAAGCTTTTGCCCCTGGGTGACCTTTCACTGGCCATCTTGATTGATACAGCAATGAAATCTAGGATGTGTGCATCTGCCTTTAATTAAGAAATTCATGAGGAGAGTTTAGGATGTATGTTTAAACGGAAATATTCCAAATGCCCTAGTTGCTGGCAGAGGATGCCTCAGGGAAGGTCTAGCGATTCCATTCGGAAATTACAGAAATATGTATATATTCATTTAAAATCGAAACTTCCTACCACAACCACCAAACTTTCCAGGCTCCGAGCAGAAGAGAAGCTTTAATTTGGTTATAGAGCCACGGGGACTCCCCTGCTTCCCTTTGCACATTTGATGAAATATAAAATGTTAGAGAACCATCTTTCCAAAACATAAACACCCCCTTTGCTTTATTTTCATCTGCAATTTTTCTTTTGCTCTTGCTTCTTGTATTCATAATGGCATCTTACTGGTCTTTTCCCCCCAATTAATTTTTGGCCCTTGTATGTCCCACTTTACTTTGCCCAGCTGAACCACAGAAAGAATGGAAGTTCCGTTTATTTATGTATAGACTTTAAGTCAAAGTAATTGATCTAAGATGCAAATTGCACTGCTCTTCTCGCTAAACATAATAGTTGGTTCCTTGCCATTATTCGCTGTGTTTTAACTTAAAGCCTGGTAATAATCCTTCCCATCCCTTCCAGTTGTTTTAATTGCTCCAACAAACACTATCTGTTTGAATTTAAACAGTGTATCTGCAGAAGTAAGTCCCCCTCCCCCCTTTCCTTGTCAGTTGAGTCAGGATCTTCAGTGAAGCAGTACTTGCCTTAAATGCAGAGTGTTCTTGAAGGAGCTCTGAAAAGAAGGAAGGGAAGTATCAATTCTGAGTTGGAGAATGAAGGGACAAGAGATGCCATTACTGTTGCAGATAATTCCCTGCTATGAAGGAAGAAATTAAACTGGGTATTTTTGGTTTATAATGAGGTAGGTGGACCAGAGAAGAATCTTGCTTGTAGATTTATGAACTAAATGTAGAACTTACAAGCCGTCACTTTGAGCTCACCTCTCATTGGGTCTGAGTACAGAATCATATTTGTATTAGAAGCTGGGGATGTTGCCAGAGAAGAGGAAACGTGGTTTTAATGTAGGGTGACATTAATTATGGGACTTGGACAAGTAATTTTTGAGAGCGTAGTCTTTAAAGCCATTCTCTTGGATATGCTGTTTCATTTCCTCCACCTCGTTTCTCCTCTGCACTTGAACAAATCACTAGCGTAGAGAGGGGGAAATGGACACCTCTTGACCCCAGTCCGAAGGAGAAGCCCTATGTTCAGCCTTTCCAGAGCCTTGTTAGAAATCCCAAATGCTGGAGCTCTGAAAGACAACTAAATATATGGAGTGGCTGGAGAGGGGCGAGAGGGATTGCTGTGGAGCCTGGGCCGCTCCCTCCTCAAATGCCCCCTTTGCTGCCCCCCCTCCTTGTTTTCACACCCAAGTCAGTTCCAAGCCTTCATTGTCTTCTTCCCCCTCCTCTCTTCCTGCCCTTCTTTTTAACAGCAGGAACGAATTTCATATACACCTCCCGAGAGCCCGGTGCCGAGTTACACTTCCTCGACTCCACTTCATGTTCCAGTGCCCCGAGCGCTCAGGATGGAGGACGACTCGATCCGCCTGCCTGCGCACCTGCGTGAGTGTCTGTCGGCGCGTGCGCGGGGGTGGGAGGACGGATGCCCAATGCCACCGCCAGGAGGATGGACTGACTGACAGGGGAAGGACTGACTGTGCGACTGTGGCGGGGGGGTGCGTGGGGCTTGGGGCTGGAGAGGAGCAAGCTCTGAGACTGTCACTTGGGGTCCACTTTGCGAAGCTGCTTTGCAGCCCATCGGGAAGCTTGAAACTCCTGTCCCCTGTTGCCGCATTACCCCCAACATCTGGAAATGTGTACTCACTCTATGGCAGAATCCACTATATCTCCTAAGAGGCAAAGGGAACTTTTGGGGGGAAGTTTTTCCGTCTCCCTAGGTTCACACTTAACTCCTCTTTTTAATATTTTCATGGGCCTGAAATTTTGGGCAGTTCCTGAGTCAGACTCCCTCCCTGCTTTGCTTTTAGGCTGTGTTCTTCCTTTCTTTACAGAGCCTGCCCCTCTCCTCCATGCATACTGGCTGCTTTTCTTTCCTTCATTTTACTGCTTGGATATGGCCTTCCTGTTCTGTCCTTTTTTCTCCTCCCCTCTCCTGCTCTCTTGCGCCGGCCTTGGCCCTGTGGCTCTGGTCAGTTTGTGCTCTTTCCACCTTTCTCTCTTAGATCTCCTCTGTCCCTTGCTTCTCCCAACTCCCTGTCCCAGTCCTCAACTGCAGCTTGGCAGAGCACCAGGGCCAACCCACTTGTGATCTCGGGGCCAGCCTCCAAAGCAGCCGACACCTGTCATTTCCTTTTTGTCTTTCTTTCCTGTGCTGCCACCCAGCCTAGATGGTACAGCGTGATGGGGCAGCTGGGGAGAATGAGTCACCTGATTCCCACCCGGATCTCAGTGGCCAAGAAAATGCCAGGTTTTCTGACATGAATGTTGTCCCGAGGGCATAGGTCCAGGTTGTAGAAGACACAGGGGGTCACCTTGGCCTTTCCCTGGCTGATTCCTCATACTTTAGCAGTGACACGGTTGTGCTTGCTCTGTCTTTCGGGCATGGGGACACTCCCCAGGATATTTGCTGCCTCTTATTCCATCCTTCCTCAGAAGCCAGAAGGTAGCTTGCTGAAAGTGGAGAATAAAAAGAGACAGGATGTAGGCTCCTCTTCGTTCACCGTGTGAGAATTCAGGGAATCAGGTGACTGTGTTGCTGGGAAGTCCTAGGGGAATATTGCTGGTTATCCCTTCTCCTCTAGTGAGGAGGGTAGCTGGGCTCTTACCCGGAGGAGCTGAGTGCTATGAGAACCCTTCCGTCCCCTCCTTCAGCTTCAGTCAGTATTTACAAAGCTACTACAAGGGACAGTCCGCACATTCCACCGTCACTTGTGCAAGGAGTAAAGGGCAGAGCACCACTCTCCCACCTTCTCCACAATGAACTTTTGAAGGTGAGATTGGGACTGTAGCCGTGCCATGCCAGGATCATGACGGCGGGCACTGTTGTCCTTGGTAAACCGGAGCGTTGGGGAGCCAGAGGAGTAGACGGGACTGGAAAAGAAACCAGAGTCAGGTAATAGCATCCTTTCCCCCAGAGGCTGTCCTGTGACCAGTACATTCACTCTAGGAATAATCACTTCCAAATCGAACACGCTCATGCCATGCAGGCAGAAGAGCCCTGCCATCTAGTCTCCTTCATTTATTTACTCCACGAATAGTTATTGATCATCCATGCTGCCTTGGACACTCTTGTGGGTGCTGGGAATACCAAAGCGAACAAAGCAGACCAAACTCCTTGTCCTTACAGAGTTTAAAGTCAAGTAAAGGGGAGAAAATGTGTGAACACTTGTCCTAAACAGAGATTTCTCTCATAGCTTTTTAATTCCTTTATTTTGAGACATTCCCCCACCCCCAAGGAGGCCCTGCCTCTTGATTTGCCTCTGGATGCCTTTATTTTTGGAAGCCCTTTTACCACAGGACTGCCTCCCCATAGGTAGTCACTGTGGCAGAAGAAACGGAGAAACACACCAAACTAACTAGTCTGAAGATCTTCATTCCTAATTAGTTCTACTCTTAAACTAGCTGGTTGACTGTGAGTCAGTCATCGTACTACCCAGTTTCCCTACCATACAGTGTTGTGCTGCGACAAGAGAACATTTAACGGCCCTCTTCACTTTAAACTGTCATGAGCTCACTTAGGGAGTCCTTCTCCATACTTGGAACTTTCATGCCAGCACTGTTTCTGAAGTAGACGGTTTCCTCATGGGCCTCAGCTGGTCTGCCTACCCCTGCTTTGCAGGCCCTGGTCCAGGCACTGTGTGGAGTCCTTTATTTAAATTATTTTGTTTCATTCTCCCAGCAGTACGTGTAAGGTAGATATTCTTTGAATATTTGGGCCACATATAAGGAATTTAGGGCTTAGAGAATTTAAAGAACTTGCCAAGGTCAAATAGTTAATAAAGGGTACAGTCGGGATTCAAACTCCGTTCTGACTCCAGAGCCTACGCTCTTGTCTATTATGCCACTATGTAAGTGTGTTTAATAAATACTTTTTGGATAGATGGATGAATTCAGGGTTGACACTTTGGTGGTATTCACTGATGTGGCTGTAGTGGCGGAAATGGTTTATGGCTGGAATCTTCTAACTGCTCAGTGGGTTGTGGAATAGTTTGCTTATGTCCCTCAGATGGTTGGATGGATGGATGGGTGGGTTCCCACATATATAATGATCAAATACAGGACTGTAGCAAATCTCTGCCGCCCTTAGAATATAATCAGGTGTTAGAGTATGGATTCAGGTCAGGGTGATGCCTTCTCTTCAGCAGCCTGACTTTGAGCCCCGTTGGTCCCGACATCTGGACTGAATCCTCTGAAAATGGAGGCTCCCAGGCTCTTGCTGTCTGTCCTCAGCTGGGGCTTTCCACATGCGGCCAAGCTGCCCTCCTCCTCCTTGGATTCCAGGATTCAGCTGCCCATCAAGCTGTTTAAGAAACGTCTCACGCAGCCCCCCAGGATGGTTGAGGCTGCACCATATACTTGGAAGATGCATCCCAGCTGGGTTTCCAAACCAAAAAGAAAATAAATATTCTAACAAGGGAATTGGGTTATTGCTGTTTTAATCTGGGATTCCAGACAATTCCCAATGGAATGCTCATGGAAAGTACGGGGAAGAATCTGGAAGCCAAGACAGCAGCAGGACATTTATGGTATTGCTAGGTTGAAAGCATTTTTAGCTGCTTGTTTTAAAGAGATACTCTCCAGACTGGTGTGCCTCAAAGTTGCTTCTTTCCAAACCATTTGTCCTCCTTGATCTCCAGATAAACCTTCTCCCTTAACTCTTTTTCTCTTTTCGTTCTTAAGTCAAAATATATCCTTTCCTGGTTGGAGGGAAGGCAGGACCTGTAATAGTGAAGATTCTCATACTGAGGGTTTCTCACCTTTTTATTCTGAAGACAGAGTGTGACAAATTAGCAAGCTATCGAGAAGTAGAAACTAATGCCTCTCCTTCTTTGTGCCTGTGATGAAAACAAAGTGGTAAATGGAGCAAAGTGTTAAGTGGTGATTATAGAGGACTTACTAGGACTGGGTGGGGTAGTCCAGGCCTGGGAAAGGAGAGCCAAGGGGAGAAGGGCCAGCCCCACACCATTCTGGCCTGGCCTCTTCGCTGCCCACACGTGCAAGCCGGGCCCCGTCAGCGGTCCTGCAGCGGGTTTCTGGAACCTGCCTGTTTCACTAGGAGAGCAGACACCATATGCTTATGGAGAAGATAGAAAGGGCTTCTTCTTTATATCCCTTTCTCCTTCTGCAAAGGGTACTGACTTCTTTTTAAGCTTGAGGGTAGGAGAACTAAAGTATAACAATTACAGCAGGTAGTGGGAGACACAAAGTTCTAGTCCTTAATGGGAACAAAGCCTCTCACTGTACCTTGAAAACACTTAAAGGACCAAAGACCCCCGATCGCGCCAGGAGGAGCTCCCTCTTGATTCTCCAGCCAGTGAAGGCTTTTGCCTCATTCTCACGAGGGTCCTCATGATGTGACGGGGAGATCCTTCCATCCTACCTTCCTTCCTTCCATCCTTCCTTTTTAAAGATTTTTTCATTTATTTATTCGAGAGAGAGAGAAGAGCATGAGCAGAGAGAGGGGCAGAGGGAGAAGTAGACCTCTAGCTGAGCAGGGAACCTGACACAGGACTCAATCCCAGGACCCTGAGATCTTCACCTGAGCTGAAGGCAGTTGCTTAACCAATGGAGCCACCTGGGCGCCCCTGGCCTGGAGACTTTTCTAATTTGTCTGCCCAAAGACCACCTTCTCGTAAATTCCTGGGGGAGGTGTGTGTGGCAAGAGGGCCGCCGTGGGTGCCTCACGAGGTGGTTATCAACCCCGCGAAACTCTCAGCCTCTGACAGAGATGCTCAGGGCTGCCCATCTGATCATAGTAAGTGTGTTTCAGACTTATTTAGGCAGAATTTAAATCACTAAGTATCTTTTCTTTATTTTAAATTCCTTCTCACATTATCACTTCGGATGCAGCTGATAGAGTCACCTCTAATTACAGGTTGACGGTGTCACTTTGTCCAGAAACTCGGCATTCTGTGGTGCCGGTTTGGCCTTATAACCCCCCGTGAATTGATATTTAAAAATCATATCCTAGGACTCATTCATCATATTTAATAGGGTTACAGTTTATGATGTTGCGGGTTAATAAATTGCCATAATAGCCGCTCAGTTTTCTAGAATCAGAACACCAGAAATAGTCCCTTGGCTCTACTTCCTTTCCTTGTGAATCTTTCAAAATTCTTACATTACTACTCCTACTTGTGTGTGTTTAATAATTTAATTTAATGCCTTCCTTTGGAAACGTTACCTCGCGGCTCACCCACTTGGTGATTTTGCCTTCTCAGCAGAGTAACTGAGTTGAAGACAGTCACGTGGCAAGCCAGGCTATATTAGAACTAGGGTAGTGAAAAGAGATGCAGTGCCTCACTTTCCTAATTAGCTAGAGCAACCCACCATTTTATATACTTGCAAGTTAATTTTGTTCCCTAAGAAGAGGCAAAAATGGG